CCATTTTTTAATTGGGTCATTTGGTTTTGAGGGGGTCTGATTTTTTTTAGTTCTTTATATAATCAGATATTAGTCCTCCGTCCGAGGAGTAGCTGGCAAAGTTCTTTCCCCCTCTGTGGGTCGTCTCTCACTGTGTTGCCTGTTGCCTTTGCTACACAGGGGCTTTTCAATTTAATGTAATCTCATTTTTGATTGTTGGTATTTCTTGTGCTATTAAGTTCTGTTCAGGAACTTGCGTGTGCCTAGGTCTTTAAGTGTTTTCCCTGTTTTATTTTCCAGCAGTTTCAGTGTTTCTGTTTCTGTCCGAGGCTTTGATCCATTCTTTGATCTGAGCACAGGGTGAGAGCTGTGGGCCCAGAGCTGTCCTTCTGCTCGTGGACAGCCAGTTTCCTCATCATCACCTGCTGAAGAGGCGGCCTTCTCTGCAGCGAAGCTGATCTTTGACAAAGGGGCTGGAGATGCCCTGCCTTCAGCCGCTGAGGTTTCGGAGCTCCATTTGTGCGACATTACCCGTCCTCGAGCCCCAGTCTACCTGACTACACCTTATGCTCCAGGTCATGGTCTTTGAGCTCGTATCAAATTAATTCCAACTCCCTTTCCTTGTAGAGCCATTATTTTAATTACATGCAGCTGAGTAACCACTTCAAAACTTGAAAAAGGAACAAGTTATTATATGTTACAGTGATGTGGGCTCAGGTGCCTGGCTCACCTGCCCCACGAGGAGGATCAGGAGGCCTTCGTGGCTGGGGCTGGGATGTTTGTGTCTCGCACCCGGGATGTGGGGCCTAGACCCCTACAGGGCCCCAGGCCAGCTGAGTGCTGTTCTGCCTCTGCTCCAAGCCTCGCTGGCTACAGCCACTCCTCCAGCCAGGCCTCGAGTCAGCCCTAGTGAGGGCATGAACCCCCGAAGGCCAAGTCCTTTGGGAACCCCCAGGTAACGCCTACAGAACTATTAATTCAATATGAACAATAGACATCCGCAGTCTTAGAAGTGTTTTTATGGCATCATCTCATTTCAGTGATAACCGCAAAGATGAGCACTGTACATGTTTTACAAAGAAAGGCTGGTGCTCAGAGCTCTGAGCCCCTCAAGTCACACAACCAGGAAATCAAGGAAGGGAACTGGAGCCCAGGTCCGATGACTGGAAAGTCCTGTGTTTTGGGGGTTTTTTTTGGTTTTTTAAACTTTGTCTAGCACAAACTGTGCTATGTACAAGTAGCTATGACTTCTACATTTGATCTTTCCAGGATTTGAAAATTTGTTGACAAGAAAGAAAACTATCACTTGAAATAACCTTCACTGGGCCGGGAATACAGCTCAGTGGCACAAGCACCCGCCTGGTAAGTGCAAGGTCCTGAGTTCCATTCCTGATACCAAAATAAATAAATAAATAACCTTCACTTATAAGGTTAACATTATTTGTTTTCTAACTTCAGGGTGGAGGCAGGTGCCTAACTCTTAAAAACTCTCATTTCACCACACTACAAGCGCTGTCTGCCAAATGCAAAGCAAGCCCCAACGGAGCCAGAGGGCGTCTGCGAGTACACACCCCATGCCAGATCCCGACGGGGGTTCATTTACCCTTTGCAAGTTTGCTTCTCAGGAAGAGTATCTTTGAGCCCCATGGCAAAGGACAAGCAAGCCCCCAGGTCCCCCAGGGTCCCCTGAGGCATCTATAATGCCGTGAAAATGTCCATGCTTGCCGGCCAGGCACCACCGGGTGAGCCAAGAACTGGGAAGATTTCTACTGAGAAAGTATGCAAAGTTCCTCTCATTGCCGCTTTCAGTTCCGGGGTACTGGAGTCTAAGTCACTGGATTAGGGTCCCATCTGGCCTGGAAGTGTCATCCTGGGTGCTGCTGCCACGGTGACAGGACCAGAGATGCAGACCTCGGCCTCTGTTGCCCTCACTGTGGGCACCCACCCAAGGGCACCCCGACTGAGGAGCTGCTGGGAGGAACAGCCTCTGCCCGGGGCTGTGGTCGGGCCCCCCACTCTTGCCCCCGCCTTCCAGGCGAGCTTGGGTCGGCTCCCTACCTGCCCCGGGCCTTGGGTCCTTCCTTCCCTGCCCTGAACTGGGGAGAAGTTGGCTGCACAGCCAGACACCTGGGAGCCTCTTGCCTGGGAGATGCTGCTGAAAGGGCCTCTCCTTCACCAGCCACACAGCAGCGGCCTCATGGAGTGGGCAGATGCCACGGGCCATGGGTAAAACCGGTCAGAGTGAGCACGGGTGCCTGGACACCGCTGCACGGGGCTGGCAGGTGGGGAAGGCACTACCTCCCCAGCCTGCAGCTGTAGCAGCCCCCCAGGGCCGTGGGTATCCCCCGGGAGCCACCTGCCTTCTGCAGCCCATCATCCTCGCTTAGCATAGACTAACTTTGGGTTAAGTGAGACCAAAGAAGACAGCAAATCTTCCACCAAGGAGTCCCAAGCTGCAAGAAAGAACAAGCGCTCGGTAAAGTGATCATCAGTGACGCAAGCTTAGTCATGGGGTACCGGGCATCTCAGCTTGCCAGGGAGGGATTGGTCCCCGACCGCTGTTTCTGGTTCCTTTAAGCAGAGACTCAGGACCAACACGAAGTTCTCAGACACAGGGGAAATGGGGCACATCTCCCAGCTTCCTCTGGGTCACGTTTCCACGAATCCTCCAGATGATATGCGGCAGGGTCTTGCAAACCCTGACCCCCAGTCTGGCTGGACCCTGAGCAACGAAGCAAGTGCCCTGTCCCCATGTGCACAGCTGGGCACCCACTGGCACGCGACACTCCTCAGCACGGCCGGGACCTGTGCGAAACCCTTCCCTGCTCCAGGACACTTTCTCAGCAGGAGCGAGAAGGCCTCAGGCCTGGCCGTGCCGAGTCAGCGTCGGGATCTGGCTTCCTTCAGGCTCTTCAGGTAGTGCTTTCTTCTGAAACCACAGCCCTTCTGGCCCGACTGCCCGTCCCCCTGCTTTATGACCCCCTCTTGCTCATGAAAGTGACATCCCTATTTCATAGTGCAGCTCATCTTTAACAAAAATTCTATGGGCCAGGGATATAGCTCAGTGGCACAAGTGCTTGCCTGGCAAGTGCAAGGTTCTGAGTTTGATTCCTGGTACAAAAAAAAATTCTAAGCCAGGCAAAGTAGTGCATGCTTGTAATCCCAGCACTAGGGAGGCTGAGGCAGGAGGATTGCGCTGTGGGTTTGAGGTCAGCCCAGGCTACATAGTGAGACCCTGTCTCAGGAAAAAAAAAAAAAAAAAAAGGATTCTAGTTCTTTATTTGCTATAGTACCTAGTATGTACACAGAAGTAAAGTTTCTAAAATGCTAAAAAAAAAAAAAATCTTAGTAAGCTTTCCTGTTTAGGGCCCACTAGAAATTAATTGAAAAATTAACTACCAGTGTCCCCGTTCTCCCGAGTCTCCCTGTAGAGGCCATGGCCCTGACTGCATCGGGAAGCCTGGCTGTGACACCCCTTTTTAAGAGACGAAGTTACGTTGGTGCCCAAGTGAATCCTAACCCTGGCCTGATCGAAACACTGCAGGGGAAGACGACGGCGCTGTTGTCCAGGGAGCCCTGTGCTTCCGGTAAGGTGCTGAGGAGGGCTGGGTTTGGGAGCTGAATGAAGCCCCAAGTTTCCTGGCCTAGGTGAAGTCAGGCGAAAGAGGCAGCACTCAGTTTGGACTGGAGAGCCCAGAGGGAAACTGAGGCTGTAGTGCCAGGCATGCTGGGCTCTACTTAAGATGGCAGGGACTTGCTATGCAGGAGGCTGAGGCAGGTGGGTCACTTGAGCCCAGGAATTCAGGGCCAGCCTAGGCCACTTGCAGACAAATGTGAATTCTCCGAGAGCTCGCCTCAGTCTACTCAGCCACCCCGTAGACTTCTGACTGCGATGTGAGGGCTTCCTGACCACGGTCGTGGTCCCCAAGGCGCCCTCAGGTCACTCGTAGCTCTCTACGGTGTCTCCACACCACCATCTGGTCCACCTGCCTGCGCTCCTCCCACTGGCCATGTGAGCGTGATTGTAGTCTAGGCACATTTACTAGTTTACCATCACTATTATTTCTGTGCTACTGAAGTTTGCACCCAAGGTAGTCACTGAGCTGTATCCCCAGTCCCTTTTTAAATTAATTTTCAGAGTCTTAATTCACTAAATTGCCCAGGCAAGGCTTGGACTTCTGATCCTCCTGCCTCAGCCTCCCGGCGTGCTGAGATCACAGCTTACTGGTCTAAATTGTCCACTGAATACTGACCCTCTGGAAAGCAGAGATTCTTACTCATCTTTGTGTCCCAGCAGGTGCTTGGTAATTTTTTCTTTTTTTAGCAAATGAATGAAGATCAGTGTCTAAGAACTGCATTTTGTATTTCCTCCACTCTAGATAATGTTTCCAAGTGGACCAATTAAAATGCAGCAAGGGCTCACTGGAGCTCGTTGGAGCTAATTTACACGGAGCTAGCAGCCAGGCGTTGGGCCTCCCGGGGGACAGCCACAGCCAGGGGCGCCCAGGAGGCACACAAGACAGCCACAGTCGGGTCCCAGGGCACTTGTGCCCCAGGAGAGCAGGGCAAGGAGAAGCAGGACCAGCAAGCCACGTGAGCCCGTGAGAAACGGCGGCACCCCTGGCAAGACAGCAGGAGGCCCAGAAAGCCTTCGGGCACAGGCTGATGGTAACTCAGGCTGATGCCACACGTTTACGGCCACACGCCCTAATGGAAAGCAGAACACAGCATTTTCTACAGGACTGGAAGCAAGCTCTGGAACAGAGGGATGTCCAGGCTCATCTCTGCACTTCTGTGCAGCACCGGACATTGGTGAGCAGCCCTCAGGGGCTCACACAGCACACCAACGCACGCCACACAAGCACAGGCCCTCAAGCCCCGCTCTGAGGTGAAGAGGGGACAGTTACCAGGAGACAGCAGAAACCACACAGGCTACGGAGTGGAGAGAACACAATGACCCCTGCAGCCTAAAACAACCAACGCTTGGTAACTACAAATATTCTCGGAAACAAAGATCTCAGTGAGAGTGTAAGTAAAACTGCTTTTATTTTCATAAATAAAAGGTGACTCATCACACAAATGCCACTCAACCGAAGTAGTGAGTGTCACCGCCTCCAGGGGAATGAGCGCAGCATTAGCACGAGTAGTTAACAGTGCTCCGGCCTTCCTGTAACGCCCCCGAATTCCCAACACCATTTCCAAAAGCATTACACACAACGGTGTCATCTTTGCTGAGCCAAGACTCCTACAATGACCCGCCTGTGTCCAAGCTGCAACTGCTGATTTAAGTGCAGTACTTACGGAGCTTCACAGCGCTGAGCAGTTCCCACCTCACACATGGCGGCGCGGTTCGCAATCTCGGCGTGGGAGTGCAGTCACTGAGTCAGCAGGCGCTAGGACTCAGGGTAAACGGGGCCCACAGGCGGCACCAAGTACTGTTTCAAGCGCTGCCTGTCAATAGCACAGAGCAGCGGACAGTCTGTGGTAGCAATACACAAAATACAGCGACATTTAATGTCTCCTCTGATCAGGAGAATAAAACTAAGTATCTACTACTATTCCAAACATTCTGGAGATTGCCGCTTCAAATATTAGAGCTTATAAGCATTAAACAGCATTTCCACGTATTTTTAAAAGCAGCCCTACTCTATGCAGCGATTTGAGGAGTAAGCGTCTGCAGCATGACCGAAGTCCTCATCTACCCAGGCAGGCGTCCGGTTTGGACCGCAGATGTTGCCCAAAGCTCCTGTGTTCAGAGGTGGCTCTGAGGCCGGACCCAGGCGCCTGGGCCTGGCCTGGGCAACACTGCAGGGCACAGTGGGCATGCGGTGTCGTTGGGGGAGCGGCCTGAGAGGCTTCCTGTCCAGGTCCCTCTTCTTTCTGCTTCCAGCTGCTATGTGTTAGCAGCTGTCCTCCTCCTCTGCACCTCTCCACCATGATGTCCCCGCCACGGAGCCAGTGACCATGGACTGAAACCTCTGACACTGTGAGCTCAAGTAAACTTTTCTCCTTAAGGTACGTGCACCAAGTATTTTGTCCCAGTGACAAAAAGCTAATACAGATACCACACTCTATTCACTGGTTGTAAGGAAAAGCACGTTTCTTTTTCAATGTTTTCTGCAGATTTCATACCTTTCTCTTTTTTTTGTTTTCTTCTGGTACCAGGAATCAAACTCACAACCTTGCGCTTGCCATGCAGGCGCTGTGCTGCTGAGCTAAATCCCCAGCCCCCCACATTCCACACCTTTCTCACAGGGGTGCTACGTGGATTCCATGGTTTATCTATGTAAGTGCTCAGCACAGCACTGGGCATGCGGAAAGTTCTCAAAATACACAGCTACTATTATTTCTGTTAAGCGAACCAACCTGTCCTTTACAATTGGAAAATTACCTAACACTGCAGGAGAGTTATCAAGAGGAAGTAAACCTGCAGACAGGCTGGGGTATTGCAGAAGTTTTAAGCATCGACTACTTCTCCAGTGTGTGTATACAATGGACTGTTTCAAATAGTACCATCTATTATTAGTGTCAGACTGTACGTATGTTCTTAAGTTTTTGTTATGGCCTTTGGCCTAAAGCAATACAATTCCAGTAAGATACATATATGTCTTAGAAAATCATGTAGAAACAATATACATTGAAATCAGGCAACAAAGGCATTTTACTAAGACTTTTTAAAGAAAGCAGTTACCAGTGTAATTCAGGACAACCTATTTCATTTAAGATTTTTCTTTACATCATGCAATATTTGATTTCTTCAAAAAAAATTTCCCATTCTTACTATCTTTCCTAACATAGAAACACTGAGTGTTGTTACAGTTTTAACCTCTAAGTAAAAAATGCATTAGAAAAGAGATTTGTAGAAATCACTAAGGGTCATTAAAGACTGGACAAAGTTTTGGGGCTACAAAGTAAGTGTAGGTTCCTAAGGGTCTCAACACAGAAATACTGATTTTCATGTAAATCGTAAATCCTAATACATGTAAGGGATCTGGTATGAAAGTCTCCAGAGCACTGTGTCTTTTTTCCCCACCAGAAAAGACGAAGAACTCAGAATATAAATCTATTCTATAATGAACAGTGGTAAGGGGGTAAACTGTCTCTCTTCAAAACTGATTCTTGCCATTCTTCTGGAATCAAGTAAGAAGGAAAATATAGGTTTTTATGTAGAAAAACCTGCCCGAAAACACATCATTCAGGCCTATGATACATTAACCTGAAACTCAGTACCCAGTGTTCAAAAGGACCCAACCCCCAAACACGTGTGTCTGAGCACAATGAACCTCTCACAGCGTTGTGTGTAGCAGGGAGTCTGGGAACAGAGCAGGAAGGATTCCCAGCTACGCTGAAAATCAAGAACAAGGAACTGAAGGCAGGATCCCTCCGAATACATGATTACTCTACAGACTGCAGAGTAGTCACTTTAAGAAGCAGGGACTGAAGCTCTACGGTTTCTCCTACCCACTCCGAGAAAATCAAGTGCACATAGCATTTTAGGAGATGTAGCACCCAGTGTCCTTTTGGGGCTTGATATCTGGTTCTTTCACAGGTTTTACTTCTTCTTCTGGCTTGGTTTTGGCCTAGGGAGAAAGAAAAATACAGTGTGGGCATCTAAGTTATGATTCAGAACACAAACATGGCGACCTCTTCCACTTCAGACTTTGAAAAGATGCTATACTAAGTGACACGCTATTCCAGAAGCTATTGAGACTGACCAAGCTATTCCAGAAGCTACCTATCAACTCGTTTCAAGGCAGTCAAAGACAACACTGACAATGAAACCTAGACTGGTAGGCCAAAGTTGATCTCATGTACTCCTACATTCCTCATGAGACTGAGCACGAGTCTACGCATGTGGACTGCAAAAGCCTGGAAATAGCTTAGGACGATAATAGGCTACCTCTTAGGACTTTGTTTCAAAGGCTGAACAGGATATAAAGATGGCTATTTTAAGGAATAATGGTTTTAGTATAGGAAGGAAATTATATAAAAACACAATTTCAAGGGTAGGGCTATGATTGCATAAGTAATTTCCTTTCCTTTTGTTACAGGTCCCTGGTCTTTCAGGAGTTAATTCTCAAATTTTCCACATAAACTATTGCTAGGCTCACTACCAAGATGTGGCTAGATGTTAATGAATAAAATATTTCACTCCTGGATGAGTCACAGAATGCTGAAGCTAGAGCAAACCCCCCAATACCCTGCAATAGTGCCGAATCAAAATGATGGTGCCACAGCAACAGAAGCAGGATGACCTTCCCCCACTATGAAAGGGCAAGATCATGTGCTGGAAACGAGGTTGTGTCAAAAACTGGCGGACACTGAGGGTGCAGAGACTTTCCCTCAGAGTCCTGCACCATGCCACATTCCGCACTGGGATCAGCCAGTTTGACACAGAGACATACTGTGCATCTAATTAGAGTCAGCTACCAAGATGCTGACTCTAGATTCCAAACTCGTAAGCAGAGGGACCCATCTCGTACACTGTCGTCCTTGGGTCTCTTGGTGAGGTCAAACGCAGCCAGCACTTCTGGAGTCCACTGAGTGCCCACAGGAGGAAATTCGAAAGGCACAGGCTCTACCAGTCCATAATTTGCTTTGAGTTCCAGTTGTGGGGCTTCAGTTGGGATTTTTTGAAAGTAACTGCAAAAAACAATTTGGATAGTGGATCATTATTCATTCGTTGATTCATTGGCTACCTGAGTCCCTAACATGTTCCAGGCCTGATGTAAGGACGAGTAAGTTTCTCTGCCTCCTGTAGCTCACAGAGCAGCAGCCCAGAAAGGCAACAAGCGTGCACTGTCCTGAAGCTGTCAGGGTCACAAACTGCCAGAAGACAAGGATCCAGGGGCTCAGGACAAAAGCAAAGCTGGGCATATTTGAGGCAGTGAGTTTGCATAGCCAGGTACAGGACGCCAGGGGAAAAGCGTGGCACAGAGGCAGGGGTGGGGTGGATGCTACCAACCCACAGAGGTGGTGACCGGCAGTTTCAACCCTGATCTAAGAGTGGAAAACTGCTGGAAAGGCCCTGGAGAGACTGTGCGACAATTCATCCTGTTTTATAGGTAGCCAGAATGAGAATGAGAGGAATATCCCAAGGAATAGGTAGGTGCATATAAATATATTAGAGAAAGAACGACAGGGAAAAGGTTAAGAAAAAATCAGGCCATCATGGGGCATCCTGATGACATGAGCTAGGTGTCAATGATTCATGGTTGAGTTCTACCATCTCCTTTTTATACAGACACAACACAGAAGTTAGGCTGTACCACTTGAACTTGATCGCTAGCAGACGGGGACACTGCTAACATCCTAACACCTCAGCAGTGTGAAGTGACACAATAGCACGAGATGCTGAGCGTGCTCACATGAAGCCGTTCTCCCTCTGACACTTGTCCAGCGTGTTCTTCACCAGGCTCCCCAGCTTCCAGAAGAATAGGTGTCCCGAGGGCTTGGCTGTGGGTCCAGGTCCCTTGGTCTCGCCATACTCTTTGCAGAGCGCTTCTGCCTTGGCATATACTGTGTGTGAGAGACAGTCGCTCGACAACGGTCATGCACTGCTTGTGTACAGTAAGAAAGCTCCACATGCAAGGGGCCAGGCTGCTTCTACCTCAGGGGACAGCAACATCCTTGCTATGACTGCAAGTGGAAAGTGGGCACTTTCTATAGGCTCTGGTTTAAAACACTGCTTTCTGTACTCCAATCACCTCATTGGGTCCCGCTTTGGCGCTGGAACTCAGCCCAATCTCCTTAGCTCCTATTTATTCTGTTGTAGGACGAAGCCTTTGTGTCTTACAAAGGAGTTAAGAGTCAGACAGGAGCACTCACATTTCTCTGCTTCTTGGAGAGACCTGATTGCTTCACCGCACTTGTCTCCAGCCAGCAGCGTCTGGCCATGGTAACAGTACGCCTGGAGAAAGAGATGCCTTTGCACTCATGCTCTCCTGAGACCGAGGTGTGTGTCAGCGACACAAACGTCACTACATGTGTGTCTGAGGTATTAGCACAACCCTTATTCCTCTTTACGTCAGCTTTTCCCTCTCTGTTCCTACAAGTAGTGGAATGTCAAGAATTGAGCAAAAATAGCCTTTTAACCACATCATAGGAGCAAAAGTTACTTGCCGATACCTGTTTTCAAAATTAGGACAGAGCAAGGTAAGTGTGGTGGCACATGCCGGTAATCCCAGCACTTGGGAGGCTGAGGCAGGAGGACTGTGATTTAGGACCAGCCTGAGCTATAAAGTGAGTCCAAGGCCAGTCTGAACTACATAGGGAGACTCTCTCTCAAAACAAAACGCAACAATTAGGACAGAGCAGTTAAAAGAGCAAAGTACTGTACTAATGCAGACAAGTGTTTTGATGATCAGGACTACAGCCATGTTAAAGGAAGATGCATCAGCCTGGAAGTTTCTTCTTTAATCATCCACATCGCTGCAGAGGCTGCGTGTGGCCTGAGATGCTTGCTTCAAGAGAGTCTATGAAGTGTAAGTAGTAAAATATTTCCTTGGACTTCAGAAAAGGTTCCGACCATCTCTCTGATGATACTAATCAGTACAACAGTTATGTTTGGTGGGAACACTAAACCACCGACAGTTCTCCGCCAAGCAAGGTGGCCCACTGCACGAGACTCCCTCAGGGGGACCCAGGCTCACTCTCCAGGTACAGGATGACACGACCGAGAGTTCTCACTGGGCGTGCAGAAAGCAGGCTTTAAATCAGAGCACAAGGCCATCACTGTAACCCAGGGGTGCGAGCCCACATCTCTCCCCACTTGCTTTAGTTCCCCCACAGCTGCACTGGCGGTAAACATTTACTGAGAACAGACCCTTATGTGTGAAATGCCAAAGAATGTGCGTCTGGGGAGATGAGCCCCAGTAATCTATGTTGTTCTTAGGGTTACTCATACTCACATAAGCTGTGTAGAAACACATTTTCAAGTGAAGATATTTTCTCCATTTAGCAGAATATGCAGGCTCCAAACTGGATAAAGTATGATCTAAAGTTACATTTTAAAAAGCAAAATATAATTTCACCCTGATTCACTAGAAGAATTTTAGTTCATGTGTTCTAGTGCTAAAAGCAGAATGCCATTCAAGTGTAAAACGTAAGCATTTATGAAGAAACCTGTGACAACAGTTAAATACCCTGGCACCTCTTTGATTTGATGGTTAATGAACTTTAAATTACAGACACACTAATGGGAGTCAGTACTGTTTATCACATTTCCTTTTTCAGTTCTCATAACCCAGCAGTGTGAGGAGCAGTGCAGTCATCCAAGCGGGACACGGAGCACAAGCTGTCTCCTTCCCTGTCTCACGGGCTCTTGCATCGAACGCACTCCCATGCCGCACACACGCACACTGCTTGGGTCCATCTCCTTTCCACTTCCTCCTTCACCCTCTTCAATCCTCTCATCTGTGCCAAGTCATCGTGGGCCCTCGTGCAGCCAGCCCGTGCCATGGGGCAGCCACAGGGCCTGCTCAGTGCAAACCTGAGTGAGGCAGACTCACTGGGTATCTCCAGGCAGGTCTCAGCTACCAAGAAAATCAGGCTGAACGTTTAAGATGGGCTCACAAGCCACTCCGGCCTGCATACACATCCCAGCGCCATCTCCGTTCCTCCGTCTCAGCTACGAGCAGCTGTCTGCAGGCCGCAGGATGTGCTCAGTTCCTTCTCTTCTCTGTACAGGACACAAATGTTCTACTCTCTTCACTGCAGACTCACGAGAAACCCAACACTGCTCTCTATTCCAAGGTGGAGCTGGAATGCCACCTTCCTCGGGAAAGCCTTCCCCAGCACGCCCTGCCTGTTCAAGTTCTTACTTCACTGATACAATATCATGCATCAAGGGACAGAATACTGTAGCTACATGTTCACCTCTGTCTGGAGGTGCAAATCTGTTCAACTTAACTCTACTGAGCAGTTAAAATAGTAATTATTTCTTAAACAGAAATACATGCATGTTGCTTAGATAAGTGAACACAAAGAATAATATAACGAGAACCAGCACCTGAGTTCTGGTCTCCCCCTAGCCTGCTACAAGTGATAGGTCAGTCATGTGAACTCTTTTAGTTTTCTTTTCCAAATAGGAATATGGTAGTTATCACAAGGTTATTATGAAGACCAAAACCAATGTCAAAAGCAATAAGCTATACGGCTGCTAGTTACAAGTGGTTACAATGCAAAGCCCTGTCCTTTCTCGTAGTAGCTACATAGCTTAACGCTGAGCAGCTCTAATTTTTTAAAACAAGATCAATATAATAATGAAGATATTCCAGTTTTAGATAGTAGGAAAATCTGAGATCTTTCATTTTTGTCTCTTATTTAGCTCAGAGAAAATAAATCTGAAAAGCTAGAGACTAAAAGTGTAACAACAGAATTACAGAGGAGCTTACCGGCTCTTTGGTAGAAATTGGCCGTTTCATACGCCAGCGCAGCAATCAGCCCTGGAGCATGCTTGAGTTCAATTGCTCGGGCTATTGTCACTGTAAACAAAACACAAGAGAAGGGATCTGGAAGTAAATCACTCCTTCGCAGTAAGTTCAAAGAGAACAGCAAACACAGCCTGATACCCTTCCAGAGTTTTATACAGTTCAAGTTTAACACGAAAAGTTATAGGAAATTCAAACACAAATGAAAACACTGAGGTTGGTGGTTCTGACACCATTTCCTTAAATCAATCACCAGCCAGTTACTTAGCTAATCTCAGAGAATTAATATAAATAGCATGACAAAGTAAGAACAGTAACTTCAGAGGACTAGCGTTTGAAATAAAGAAAGAAAAACCAAAGCCCATGAAATTTCTTTATTGTTATCATGTGAGTCCCACTGTTTGGAATAGTACGGACCAAAACACTTTTTTGTTTCGTTTTTTTTTTTAAATGGGGTCTTGCTGTGTTGCCTAGGCTGGCCTAGAACTTGTGATCCTCCTGCCTCACCTCTTGAGTAGCTAGGATTAGAGGTACAAACCATGACACCTGATTTTTTCCCAAATCCTCAAGACTTATTAGGCTGTAAGGCCTTTTTGAAGGCAGATGTTAAAGGGAAAGTTACTCCTCCTACAAATTTCTCAAAATCTGCAACTCAATTACAGCTATACAGCTGTTTCTGATTTAAAAGAAAAAATAATTAAATGCCAATGTAGATTTTCTTTAAAAACAGTCTTACAATACATAGGATACCTTCTTGAGCTTCAGCCTGACACTGGAGAATGTATGCTTCTATGAGCCGGGGCTCTAGGTCCCTTCCCTTCTCCGCAGGTGTGAGAAGCTTCGGGATGTGACTATCCTGAGAAAAAGAAAATGGAAAACAAAGATGTTGAATTTTATTTAACCCAGGTATCAGAGATGAGGAAACTGGAAGTTGTGAGACAGTCAAATTGGAGACTTACCAGCAATTAAGGACACAGACCAAAGTTGTGTAAAAAGCGGCAATAGTAAGTTCACAGAAAACGTAAGCTTCTATAAAGCAGAGTTTTCTAACTGTGAGGGTGACTTGGAATTTGTACACTAAATGGAAACAGCGAATCAGAACCAGCCAGCCTCATGCATCAGGCAGCTCACACTGGAAACAGAACGAGAGCAGCTGGCACCACACTATCTGAGGGTGGGGGCTGGGGATTTAGAGCAGCAGCACAGCGCCTGCCTGGCAAGCGCAAGGTCATGAGTTTGATTCCTGGTACTGGAAAAAAAAAAAACAACCAAAAAAAACCCCCAAAACATATTATCTGAGGGTTCAGACCTCCACCTTGTATTGAGAACATTTGAGTAAAACACGGCATCTATGTTGAACATGTCATGACTCCTTGTTATGCCTCTCTCGACAACACGGCTCAACAATTTCCACAGTATCTCCCTTGCACGAGTTATTGCAGAGGATTTAAAAGTGTGAGGGAGAACCTGTGTGGGTTACACAGAAATGTTACGCCATTTTGTGAAAGAGACTCGAGCATCCAGCTTTTGTACCCTGGGAAAAGGGGTATTCTGTCCGAGAGCAGAACCCCCACAGGCTCTGGAGGCCTGGACTGTTTTTACAGAATGAAACCATTTCCTCCCCTTACAAAAAGTTATTCAAGAGCTAAAGTGTTAGGAATATATTTTGAAATGTTTTCTTTACCTTCACATGTTTAAAAATCCCAGCCGCAATCTTTAGGCTTCGGTGGACCTCTTTTGCTTCATCTTCTGTTATGCTTAAAGACAGTGGGTGCATTAGTTAGATGGGTCTGGTCTGGGCTACTAAAATCAACAACTAATATATAATAACCAAGCGAAGTTATATCTGTTTATCACCATGTGGTGGACTGACAACTGGTGGTCAACTTGTAACACCCAGCTGAACTGAATCGGCACAGTGCTGGGTGTGGAATGCCCACCTGAGGATTGTTGCCCACATAGAAAGAACTGGAGAGGCAAAGGCAGAGCTGTTGGCTCTCCTGGAGAAGCTTGTCATGCTGGCTTTCCTGATACCGACTCAGCCCTTCTCATCATCAGAGGAGCTCAGGACCCTGCTATCACTGAGGATGGCTATGGTTCTTTTCGGGGGAGCTCTGGTCCTCACTTGGAGCCTCGCTTCCTGGCTCCAGTGCAGATCCTTCATCCCACTGGCACAGATTTTCTAGCTTCCACCACTGACCTCTGGGCCTTTCCAGCATAGATCCTTGAAACAGGCCTGCATGAGACATTGCCATGGGCTCTAGGCCTCCAGTTGGACTCGTGGGAGGCATTGTTATGGGCTCTATGTCTTCAGCTGGACTCACGCAGGACACTGCCATGGGAGACACGCCTTCAGCTGGATTCTCTGGATCTTTAGTGTGTGGACAAATTTCCTGCACTCTTTTGTACTTGATGCTTCAGGTGACTGCTATAAAATAATCCTATAAATTATGTGTCCTGTATTAGACTATTTCCCTTATGAACTCTGGCTATAACATACCCCTAGTTTTCTTCCTTCAAAGACACCTAATTTTGACACTTAAGAAATGCACATGAAAAATCCTTGTTATGGATGATACCTAGATGTCCCTCAAAGCCACAGGTAGGCTTTGGGGAGTGACTGGATCATGGGTGTGATACTCAGTTAGTCGGCTGATAGGTTTAAGGACAGTTCTTACTGAACAGGGGAGACCCACTAACCAACAGCTTTGTACCCTGGATGAAATGAAAAGGGAAAGAAGGAAATTCTGCTGCCATTGACTGTTTCTCCTCTGCGACGCACCTCTGCTGTGCCATCCTGTCTTGGAGGCAGCCAAAAGAAACTGAAACGTCTAGAAACTGAGCTGAAATAAGCCTCTCCTCCTTTAATTTATGAGTACTGGATATTTTGTTTCAGCAACAGGAAAGCAACTAAGACAATATCCAAAAAGAAGAGAGAACAGATGAAAAAACCAGAGATCCTGCCTTACAGGTAAACTCTTGAGCAAAGTCATCTCTTTCTCCTTCCAGACTCTTCTGTCATAAGTAAGTGCAAACATTAAACAGTATACCCACAGTAGTAGCTACACTCACTACTCTGCTTATTTTAATCACTGTAGTGCAGAGATAATTTTACATCAGCACACAGAATTCAGCTTCATTTCAAAGTGGCTGTGTATTATTCCTATGCATGGATGAATCATAACTGACTTGTCAGTTTCCAATTGCTGCACCCACATTAGCTACTATAAAAATTCTAAGTCATTTTACTTTGCTGTTCTTTAGTCCTTCAAAACATCTTTTCATATACTTATAAGCCTTTTATTTCTTTTCTACGAATTTCCTGTTTATGTTCTTTGCCTATTTCCTTTTTCAATTTGTAAGAGCATACATTATAAAAGTAATTTATCAGATGCACTGCAATGCTTTTGACCAATTCTCTAATTTGTTTTTAAATTTTGATAATACTTTAAAACTTTAAAAAATTTATTTAAAAATATGTAAAGCCAAAAATTGTACATATTTAAAATATGTATCTTAAAATACAGAAAAATTAAAAGTATACACATAAGTAGGATACTGTGCAATGCCATGATACATGTATACATTGAGCAATATTCAAATCAGGTTCAACATGCTGTACTCCTCTGACCAGGCACGGTGGTATGTGGCGTACTCACAGCACTTGGGAGGTCAAAGCATGATGACTTGAGCCCAGGATTACGAGATCAATTTGGGCAACAAAGTGAGGCTTTGTCTCAAAACAAAGACAAAAAAAAATGTACCTCCTCAAACATTCCTCATTTCTTCATGGTGCTACTTTTAAAACTCTTCCCTCTAGCTTTCTGAAATGTACAAAACATTACAGTTGCCCGAAGTCACTACACTGTGTGACAGCACACCAGAACTTTATGCTCCTGTCTTGGTACCCACCGATTCAACTTTTCCCATCTTCCTGCTCTCCTACTTTTAAGTAGTCATTTATTCAATCTTTTCCTTTATGTCTTCATGGTTTGGAGTCTTTTATTCAGAGAGACCTTCCACATGACAAGATTTATTAAATAACTTTTCCTGTGTAAAGCTAGGCTTCCTAATTCTAATGTAATACTTCAAACATGAGGCAATCTTTCACTTACCTGAAGTAGCACCTTTTAATCAATGGCCAAGAATTTTTAAAAATGAAACACATTGTATTTGAAAGATAATACATACATGCACATGAATTTTTTTTTTTTAACTTACTTTTCTTTTCCAGCCAGTCTTGAAGCATATTTGGTATACCATAAAGCTACATTAAATCCCATGGAAATTAATTCAAAAACAGCATCCTGCTGGGCACTGGAATTAAAAATACATTCAGCAAGTTTTACAAATTATTAAGACATTGCTATAGAAGCCCACCAGATATTCAACTCATAATTACAAACTATAAAGCTTGTATGTGCGTATATATAAAGAAAGAGAGAAAAAAAGACAGGAAGGAAGAGAAGGAAGAAAATGGTTGTTGTGTTTAATGTAGATGGGGCGATAAAGACACTTAGGTAATTAAGAAAAAATATCTGAATACACTGGTGTAGTATGTACCATGTACTTGTCAGTAATAAACTGAAAATAGTAGCTCCCAAAGTGAACTGCATATACAGTAGCTTTATAAATACACACTGCTAGGCCTTAACTCCAGAGAGTCAAGTCTGAGATGGGCCCAGAATCAGTGTTTTTATTCGGAAACAAGTGGCACTTATGCAATGTATTATGAAAATGGAATTCAGAGGAGAGGTGGTCTTAGGCTACAGTCATGAAGAAGTCTTACTGGTGCTTGAAAATCTAAACTGTGCCCTGAATGATGACTACATGGGAAGAAGGATGCCAGGTGAGAGAATGCCGCTGCCAAAACATAAAGAGGATTTTTCTGATAGAGTTGATCCAACCTACTTGACTGGAGCAGACAGTGTGTGAAAGAAATCAAGGCAAAGAGGACAAATAGCTAAAAGAAACACAACTGAAGAGGAGTTTTGAATGCCACACCAATCACTATTATGCAAAGAAAAAGGTCTTGAAAGCAAGAATATTTCATCCTTTGTTTCCTTCAAATTCTATCACTAATTAGAGCATAAAGAAGATAGTGAGAGTGTATTAAATAAGAAACTAATTCCAATATATTCACTGTCATTCCAAGAGCCTGAGTATTCTATACATTGACTCAAACGTTGAAATAAGAAAGTACAAGTAATAAGCTAATTTTACACATGATATACTAAGATACAGAAAAGTTACTCAGAAAAACAATGGGCCGGGAATGTGGCTCAGCAGCACAAGCGCCTGCCTGGTAAGTGCAAGGTCCTCAGTTCGATCCCCAGTACCAAAAAGAAAAAAGAAAAAAAAGAAGAAACTGAAGTTTTAACTATACTTTGTTTTTTTTTTAATTGTGAAAGGAATGAGACATGTCAACATTTTAGATTAGAAAAAAATCTAGAATGCGGTGTAGCTCAAAGGTAGAGAGTACTGCCTGACAGGCACAAGGCCTGGGATTCCACTGCCATCACCACACAAAAAAAGTTAGAAAACTTATTGTACTTAAAAATAATTTATAAATTCCTATTTAGTGTACTTATAATACACAAAAATTTCTTGTTTATAAGAAAACTTCTTAAAATGATTTTACTTCTCAGAAATGTTTTAATAGCTTATTCTTTTTATCAGGAAGAACTTCTGAATAAGAGGCACAGAATCTAGGGGGCACGTCTAACTTAGAACTTTACCTTTAATGAGACAGTTGTGCAAATGTATGTGAGGAGTCATGAACAACTCTCTCCGTTTTCATTAATTTCAACCTATTTTGCTCCAAAACACCCCACTTCTGTGGCAAAGCACTAAGTAGCAGCCAGAGCATGCACAGCTAAAGAAGCCCTTTTGGAACAGATACACTCACAGCAGTTTCTACTGAGTAGGTGGAAATTATGTCTCACATGGATTGACTTTTCAGTATCACTTAAGGTCTTTACCATGTAACCCTTCCCTGTCTCATAAAATGCTGAAACAGTGAAAAACAGCAGCTTGCTGTAACATGGAATAAAAATTTGGCACAGGAGAACAGTGCCAAATTTATGTAACACAAGACATTTTAGAATCTGTTAAAGTTTGTACAGCAATAATGATAAAGATTTGCTTCTTTAAAGAGTCTTAAATTTTAAAAATTACTTAATTTTGGATGAAAAAGGGATCACAAAGAAAAACAGGAAATAAAGTTAGAAAACCTCAGTACCTCAGAACACTAGTATCTGGAAAGGATCCATATTCCCCACTTCTTACCCAATTTATGAATTCTATGCACAATATTCCCAGAGAAGGAGGGAAACTAACACTTAATGACTATCTCCTTATATGCCTACATTATATTCTTAGTCCTTTAATGTAAGCTTTCTTACTCTGCTCCTCACTAAGTCCTCTGACCCCACTGGAGCAGCGAACACCTACTCAAGTAGAAGACCGGGGCGTAGGTCTGGATGTGCCTGAGTCCAGCACCACACTCTCCTGCATGCACCAGCATCCTGTTCTTACAGCAATCTCTAGTTCCTTCCTCTTTGTTTTTATAAGACAGTAATTTTAAAGCAAAATGAGATATATGTACACCTGGACAACCCAACTGTGTTTTTTAAAAAGCAGCTAGAAAGGGTGGCACCATTATGATCTAATTTCTGTTATGATTAGGTCTACTTCAAATAGTTTCAAGTGGTTGATGAAAAGCTCTGACACGAAGTTTTTAAAAAGAGCAGAAAAAGCACACAGAAACAAGGAGAAAAAAAATGGTGAGAATCAGAGTATGCAACTGAGGAGAAAGACAGACTGACCAAGGACAGCTAAACCATCCATCGAAAAAAAGGGTAGGGAAAAACCAAAACTCTGCTTGGCTTAAAGGAAAGCAAAGACAATGTCAGTTTGGGTTCTAAATTCTCTAAACCTTCTTCATGTGTTATTAGAAATAAGTCTAACTTCTTTTAGATATTTAAAATTAACTAACTACATAAAATTAGAAGAATTAGAAGAATTATTTAGATACACAAAATTAGAAGAACTTATTATTCTAGTAAGTCTGATTTCAATTCTAGTTAATATTTGTATTGATTATCTCAAAGACAATTTGGTGGGCGGGGGAAGTAAGTTATGTTTGCACTTAATTTAAGATTTGGGTCAAATGCTCTCAATTAATTTCCTGGTAAGAAAAAACGCTGATCAGACCTCTACTTATCTTCTTCAAATGCAGAGGCTGAGTTAACTGTTTACCTTGGAACCTGTCCCTGTAGTGTATCGGTCCACTTGAAATTCTGAATATATCGTAACTTGCTTTCCTGTGTAGATTCATCTGGTGAATTTATGAAACCTATATGAAGACACATACACTTTTAGTTTGAGAAGAAATATCACATGTTCCATTAGACTTTTCAGATCATTACTTTTCCAGGTGCCTGAATGAAACTTCTGGCCCTGTTCTCCCTGACCACATCCTACAGTCTCCAGATAGTACGTAATATGGAGAACACATACATTTAATTTCCAAAGTGTTAGAACATTCACCACCACTACAATCTCACATTTCTGAAACTCACGCATATCACAACTTACAACACTAAACTACCCAAATTTAAGAAGTCTAAGAATTAATGTGAACTTCTTCAAAGTTTTTTTTTTTAAACTCAGAAATAAATATAAATGACCAACCTTGTAAAAGTGAGAAGTACAAATCCGCTGCATTCTTCATCATTTCTGGGTTACAGCTCAGATCAGTGAACAGCTCAAGGAGTCGCGCCCTGGATGATCTCAGGTCACTTACATGAAACAGGGAAGGTAAAGCCATGGAGGCTGTGTTACAATACTCCATGTAAAAATGGCTTAAAGGTTTCACAAAAAAGGTTTAACACACACACACAATACGCACCCCACTTCCTTGAAGGTTTTTACCACATACAGAAGAATAAATCTAATTACACATGAATGAAGTTACTAATAACAATTGTTTAAGAAGGCATACTGTACTAAAATCAGTCCAGTCTAATTACAGGGCAAATTGTGGATACAATTATGTAATAAACATACATAGCAAGTTTTAATCAGAAAAATCAAACAAATGCATGCATTTCAAACTCAAGAGAGGAATTAAGAATGAACAACTTCAACTAGTTCATGGTAAGATTTTGGAAATAACAGAAACTTAATATATTTGCGTCTACTTTTAGAATCTCCTTATAGGGACTCTATTTTATTTTTATTTTTGGTACCAGGTATCAAACTCAGGACCTCATGCTTGCCAGGTAGGCACTGTGCTACTGAGCTATATCCCCAGCCCAAAGTGAAATAGCATTACACAACTCAGGGCACACGGAGAATGTCTAAAAACGTGTGGCCATTAAGTTTTAGAAATATTCTCTTGTCTCCATTCTGCTTTATTTCTCTGTAGCAAAAATAATGCACATCCGCCTTTTCTGCCTTGAAATTCATTCTTCCTTTAATACTAAGTTTCCCAGGTGCTTCTCCTATCACTACAAGTTCCTTGTTACTTTCCCTATGTCCTTTTCTCCCCATCTAAAAAATTTCCACCTTTGGCTTTCAGGTTTTCCCTTTAAGATCTCATCTTTCATTGCTTCCATTTCCAGGTCTAAACTATCACCTCTAACTTGTTCTGCTCACTTCCACACATTGCCCAGAAGGCGACTGAAGGCTCACTGAAGCTTCCAGAACTCACACTGCATAGAGATAGGCTGAAGACACTGGAAACGTGTGCAGACGACTGTAGAAAGACTAACTGTTACTGAAAGGCACCCAGAGTAGGGCCTGCAGACCCACACACTAGCATAAAGCACACACTCAATCGTTTGAGTGCAAGAATATCAGCTTGCAAGCATTTCCTTCTGATTTAGAAGGGGTGTAACGTAGCTGTCGTGTTTAGAGGAAAGGACAGACTTCACCTTGAGTGGTCCTAATGTAGTGCTTATACGTTAGTACTGACTCTAAGCAGTCTTATCTCAAGAAAGTATGTATCAATCTGACCAAAACGGAGCAGGCTTATGAATGTGTCACTGCTTGAGGTGTTTATCTAGAAGCTGAAAGGATGATTCTTGAACTAGGAAGAAACCTAAAATTTTTTAAATCTTTAAGGCCTATTTTAAGCTCAAGTATTGTGTGCCAGAAATTTCCATGTTAGGTGCTCAACTGTCACCGACAGCCCAACTTGTATAAAGCTAAACTCACCTTAAAATTATAGAATTTGAGGAAAATGAACTTTAGAAATATGTAATTTATGCCATATATCTGACACATCAGGAACCAGGTCCAAAGAAGTTAAGAGACTTGCTCACTGCTACAGGTAAACAGCTACTTGGCCACCAGCATCTGGAAGGCTAGATTAGGGGTGGCAAACTGTAATCTGCAGCTTGTTTTTGTATGGCCCACAACTTATTTATGATCAGCTCTCAAACTAAGGGTGAAGAGCCAGGTGTGGTGGTGCATGCCTCTAATCCCAGCACTAGGGAGGCTGAGGCAGGAGGATTGTTGTGAGTTCGAGGCCAGCCTGGGCTACAAAGTGAGCTCAAGACCAGCCTGAACTGCATAGTGAGACCCTGTCTCAAAAAAAACAAACACACACAAAATCAAACTAAGGGTGGTTTTTACATTTATAAAGGTTGCAGAACAAAGAAGAAAATGATCTTGAGTGGCTCACAAAACCTAAAATGTTTACTATTTAGTGATTTTCAAAATAAAGTTTGCTGATCAGTGGTCTAGAGACCAGGTGACCTCTCTGATTTTCCTCTACTGGTCCCACCACTGACTCGATTACTGAGGTTTTCTATATCAGAGACTACACCCTTTCTAATCTCCCAAAGCCAAGTGGCCAATCAGGTCAGCTGGCTCCTCTGAAGTATCTGCTGCTTCTCTTCATTTGCTGCAACCAAACCACTCTGTTCACTCTCCCTAGTCGATAATTCCGGGGATAGACGCGACTTTCTTCTTTCCCCTCCACCTCCCTCAGGAACCCTCCAGAACACTTTCTGTACAGGGCCACAGAATGAACTTTGAGGCTCTGTGGGTCACAAGGTCAGTTAGGACTACTCAGTTTTGCTGCTCAGGAGGCAGCCACAGCAGGCTCTAAATAAATGCGGGTCTGCCTAGGTTCCAATAAAACTTTATTTTTAAAAACGAACAGTAGGCTGAGCCTGTGGGACAGCTTGTAAACTTCTGAACTAAGGCATTCAATTTAAACCCAGCTCCAGTCCTTTCTCCTATGTGACTTCTTGCATGGCCATTCCAAGTCACGGGGACTTCTCCCTGCTCTGAACTCAATGAATTTACTGGCCAGTCAATTAATAATGTCCACCTCCTACTTTCTGGCGTCTCCCACATAAGGGTAAAACAAGCTTAACTCTCTCGTTGTCACTGCTTTAGTCTCCCAGGACACATTTATCAGTTTTACATTAGTGACATAACTTAGATGATCAAAGTTTAAATAATTTATGATTTTACTCTTCAATGTCATTTACAAATTGATAAGAAAATAAGTCTGAAGTTAGAGACAATGTGTTACATATTCCTATACTGCCCATGAAACCTAACAAAATACCTTGTACCCAAGAGTGACAACAAACCTCACACTTGTAGACAACAACTAAAACTTACTTGCACAGTCTCTCGGTCCTTCTTTTCAATCCTGGCCTTCCTTCCAGCCGTCATACCTCAGTGAAAGGAGTCACTGGTGAGGAGGTAATATGCTATTTTTGACAACCCTTAGGCTGTAACTACTTATTAGATCCTTCTTGCATATCTCTGTCTTCCTGAGAAACCACTTTGAAGATACCACCATGTATTACAGCAGCCATTGATATTTTCCTGCTAATCTATCCGTAACTGTGTTGTTTGTAATGTTCCTACCCTATTTCATAATGTATGTTTATTATTATGTGTTTCCTACAACAACCATTGAGAATAATTAATGATTTTTCAATAGGTCACTCATGTATAGCTCTATTTATTTTCTTTAGAAGCCACTTTGAAGATACCAAAGTATAGCACAACAACTCTTGATAATCTCCTACCTCTTTTGTCTCTAACTCACTATTATTTGTCTATTTGTTTTCCTGAGAAACTATTTTGTAGATAATAATACGTAAAACGATAACCACTGATAATTTCCTACCATTTTGTCTGTAATTTGCTAAGTTCCCCCTATTATTATGTTATCCTTCTTTTATTCTTTAAAAAAAAAAAAAAAATTAAAACTTACTTGCACATTTTTGAAGCAGGAAGGCCAGTGACCACACCATAGTAATTAAAAGAGACAGGAGCTGTAGCTTTCAATGGGTTCCTATGAAACCAATGGGTCATTTTCTCTAGATGTCTCCTGCAGAGAAAAAATATATAAAATTAAAGATAAAGCATTTCATAAATAATGAACATAGTGTAAAAATAACTTTTTCAGTTAAGAGTTTACTAGAGAATATGAGACAGGGACCACCTGGGAGACAGTGGTAGGACAGAAGGATGGGAAGGCAACTCATCTATCACCGTTCACAGCATGGCATTTTCAACAGACCCATAAGATCCTGATAAAACCACAAAAATACAACGTTTGCATGAAGTGAGAAACTGTTACCAAAGGGGCGAAAAGCCCAAATAAGCCCTTCCGCTTCCCTTGCTCTTAGTCAACTCATGAAGGTCACACAACGGAGCAGACATTATTAGGTTACCATTAGCTTTGCTATAGATAAGGCCGTTGACATTTGGGGACGGGGCAACAGTTGCCTGGGTCCCTTCCCAGGGACCTGAGGCTGCTTTTGCTGAGCACTGATTCTTCACAGAGCCTGATGGGTGACTAAAATGGGATAAAGGACTGGCATCTCTGTCTTCCTACTGTGTCTGCCCCCTGCTGTCTTAACTCGAGTCACACTCTACACATCTCTGCCTGGGGATGGATTCATCATTTAAAAATGCTTTTCCAAGGACTATTACACAGGCTTAATTTGCCTACTTCCCACTGTGTGTGTGTTTCTTCCATCCTAACTTGCCTTTCTCAGGAACTCCAGCACTAAGAGTCCTTCAGCCCTATCACGAGGCCAGGATGTTTATGCACGCTGACGACATCCTCGGAGTAACTAAGTAGTTCCTGAGCAAAGCTGACTGCCTGCCTGTTAGTCTGTCAACTATAAGACCAGGATGTTTTGTGCAGGAAAAAGGCATTCGATATACAGATATTTAACCAGGTCTAGGATAAGCTGTGTGTGACTACATGGTGGTCCAAATCTGTTACAAAAAGAAACACCTTTAGGAACCAATGAATGTGACTGGGTTTTAGCTCACAGCAGCAAATTAACAAAACCCTGCTGCTGTCTGTTCTGTGAGCAGCAGCTGGGTCACTTAGTCAAGTCACAGGGGCTTCTCCCTGCTCTGAACTCAGTGAATTTAATGGCCAGCCAATTAATAATGTCCATCTCCTACTTTATGGCATCTCTCACACTGCAATAAAACAAGCTTAACCTTTTCACTGTCACGGCTTTAGTCTCCAGGAACTAACCCCCAGCCCACCTTCCCCGGTTCTCCCCTTACAAAGCCTGCTGGTGCAGCAGGGTGTGTACTAACCCCACTGCCCCGCAGTATATACTTTACACGTAAGCTATTATATATAGAAGATGTACAATATAGTAATAGAACATTTCACCTCCACAAATCAATGTTGTTTTAACTGATGGTCTACCATTTATGGTAGTCTGTATTTAGATCAGGGCAATTAAAAAAAAACAGCATTTGGAAAACTGTCCAGAGTAACTGGAATGTTAAAATACAGTACAGAAGTGTATTTTAACACTACTCTAGCAACATTTACTTTATGTGCACAAAAATCACCTGAGGGTGAGTGGATCTTGCTAAGAGGAAAGTTCTAGATCACTGTGTGTGGAACCTGAGATGCTGATGCAGTTTTGAGTAGGTGAGAGGGTTACAGGGCCAGCTGCACGCAATTCCTGTACGAGACTGACTTGGTGACCCTCACTTACACTGCTCAAGCTAGCGAGACAGACAGGCTTTCAGTTAACTGTATTTCCCCCATACTGTGGACACCAATGGATTAGTTCTAGCACGGATTCTCTAATAAAGGCACTTCCCATAAAACAGCAGGAAAAATCACGCCCGTAACAAAAAAGTGCATTCGATTAATAACTTCTATTCTAAAAAAGAAAACAGTTGAAAAACTCCGTGAAACGCTACATTAAAAAAAGGCCACGTCTCGCGCCCACAAGGCCCTGCCTACCCAGTGCGGGGCAGGATCCCGGACCGGCAAGCCGACTGAACACGCAGGCGGACTCCCGGAAGTAACAGTGGCTTCGGACAAGCCTCGCCCGCGGGGAGCGGCGCACAAGGTCGTCACCAGACTTCTCCCCGCACGAGCGCGGCGGCGGCGGGGCGGCACAGCAAGCGCCGTTCTACGGGACTCGCTGCCACTCACTCGCGACGACACTGGTTTTCAGAAGCAGCACACGGCGGACAGAGGAACTCCGCGTCCTCTACGAAAACCGAGGGGGCTTCACTTACGACCCAAAGCTTCACAGGACAGCACCGGAACACCTTCCGGGTAAACCCGCCTTCCGGGGAAGCCTAAGCGACCGGCGTCGCCCAGTTCCCCGAGGGCAGCGCGGCCGCCCCGCTCCACTTCGGGGAGCAAGTATTCCGCTCTTGCGTCTCCCGGGCGTCGCCTCTCGGCCTGGCCCGCGAACGGTGGGCGGCCCCCAGAGCAGGAGCGAAGGTCCCCGAGGACACCTGCTCGCCCACCGCGAGGCCGGGCCCGACCTACCTGAGGTGGCCGCGAGCCCAGCGCCCACTTCCTGTTTACCCGGCACTTCCCCAGGCGACGCCGAGCCCCGTCTGCGCACGCGCCGACTCTACGACAGGCCAGGCAAGGGAAAGCCGATGCTATCGCCCCGGGAGGGATGGGCAGACGACGGCCGAACACTATTCAGTTTGGGTTATCGGAAGCCAGTTCAGACGCAGAGCAAGCAAATCTAGCTGTCAGTATTATTGACTTGTGGCACCAATGTGGAACTTCTGTCGTTTGTTTCAGGGCATCAGAAGCCGACTTTTTAAAGCAGCATCCAAAAGTGGGCGGCTGCTGCTTGAGATTTAGGGATCAACAGGGGAGGGAGAGCAAGGGTAAAGGCACATCCTCAGACACACTTACCGGGCCCCGCAGACTCAGCGCGGCACTTCTCCTGGGGGGAGAAGGGCAAAATCGTGGTCCACAGAGAGAGGGAGTGACGAGCCGAGAGTACTCAGCTGGAGTGACCGGAAGTAGTGCCGAGCCGGTGATCACGTGGCCAGCGCCATGACAGTTACCGAGGCAACAGGAAGCTAGACAGGCGCCCCGCGGGGGTCACGTGATTGGCGCCATGACAGCTAGCGAGGCGGTGGGCCGTCAGGCGGGCGCCGGGGCGCGGTCACGTGACTGCCGCCATGACAGGTGTCGAGGCGGCAGTGAGCGCCGGAGGGTCGCCGCCCCTCGGAGCGCCGAGTTCAGCAGTTCTCTGTCGCGTCTGCTCCCTGGCCCTCCCACCTGAGCTTCGGTGGCGTCCCCAGAGAGGCAGGGCAGAGGCGCCGGCGCGCCGCGCCCAGGGAGGCCGCGCAGTGGCATGGC